GCAGCTGGGGTTAGGTGTCTTGCTCATGGACACCTCGACAATTTACCAGGTGGAACCGGGGATCGAACCACCAACCTTCCGATTGATAGACAACCGACTCATATAGATATATGAGCCACTGCCGCCCCACCTGTTAGTGGACAAAATGTTTTGGGTCATCAAAGCTATATCGGTGCGTCCAATCTATTGACTGGTACATACAGTATATTGTTATCTTATCAGCGAGCAGGAAAGCTAGAATCTCCCTGCAATGCCAGTCTGGCTCAATGCAGCCATTGCAAAATGGAGACGCGCCGAGAGAGAGCGAGGAAGAGCGAAGGGAGGAAAGGAGGGAGGGAGAGTGAAATGGAGGAGAGAATAAGTGCAAAGGAAGAGCAGCGGTAGCAGAAGAGGAGAAAAGTGGGAGGGATGGAGGGGGCTGGAGGAAAGACTCATTAGTTCGGTCTCTCTCCTTCTGTCTTTCTCTGTGGAATTCACTGTTTGCTGCTATTCACAGCCCCAAAAGGACAGAAGAGGAGATAACACACACACACACACACACACACACTTTGATTTCCACAGCTCTGAGGCTATTATACCTAATGACATAAGAACTACAGAGAACCAATTACTGTGACAACCAGAACTAGAGTGTGTGTGTGTCATTTCGAGTGTTAAAGACTAAATTCATATTGAACGTTGGCTGAACTCTGCATCCTGGTCAGTCATCCACATGGGTCCAAAGGCCTGCGCTTTAAACTGCTGCTGCACTTGTTTGCAGATGAACGGGGTGGTCGGGATTTAGAAACTCACGGTGCGAGACGTTGGTGCATTGTTTTTTATAAATAACTTCCCATGCCACTCGGGAGAACGGAAATAAAACCGGTAGTGTTGTGAGTGTAGCACCCAGGTATTCTCTTCATCTGTCAGCACTGGTAGAGGGCAGGTGCCCGGGCTAATCTGGTCATCTAGAATTTGAGAAGGCTCCTTAACTCACCATGGGGAGATAGTTGCTATCTCCGCCAGCTAATCTCAGGAGCACGACAAAATTTAGCCAGCAAAATAAAAACGTACTAAACGTGACGACTATATAAAATGTCTGTGTGCCTACATTCAAGGTCCATTCACTTATCGATTCCAGAACGTAGGAGAACGTAGGGCTATCATAGCGACCAGCAGCAGAGGCTTCGTAGGAGCGTGCTATAAAACCGCAGGGCATCAGCTGGAGGAATATTAGCAGTGGCATAAGGATCACGCCATGCAGCCTTTCTGAAAGTGAATTACTCTATTGCTCCATTGTTTCCTTCAGAGTAACAAAACAGAGTGTTTTACCTAAGGCGTCAAGTAAAAATGGTCTACTGGGCCCCAGGGAGGGCTGTTTAGCACCCAAGCATAGATCCGGACAAAAAGTAGTCATGCCAAAAATTATAAAAAACCTGGCTCAAATCTGATAGCCGACAAGCCAAACATCAGACTTGGGAAAGGTGAAGCAGGCTTAAACGCTAGGTCACAGCGCAATCGCTTCTTTAGTACCAGCAGCAATGGTTTTCAGTTTTGCGGTTTTGTCATTGACAAGTACATCACACGCCGTGGAGAATGATATCTAAACACAGCATTGCAATCGATGTGTCCGGGGTTTATGTTTCACGAAACATGCACAGGAAGTTCATCTGTCAACAATAGTATGACCAGGGAAGTTAGAAACGCTTGCCAGATTAAATCAGGAAAGCAGAGGCGTTTGGCAGGTGGTGTTGTTTTGCAAGGGCGTCGACTTAAATTACTTACGGACTTCTGGGTAACCAAGAACACCAACCTTCTAAAGACACGCTAGATCCTTAAAATGCGAGCTAACAACACAATAACCAGCTACTCCACCTGAGAAATGTAAATCGTATTTTAATGCAAGCCGTAAACAGATAAACGTGATGCTACCATATAAAGTAATTCATCTTATTACAGTGACTCACGGCAGGAGCAGACAGGCCAAAAAGGTCTTACATAACACTGCAGCCATTATGCTTTGGTGCCAACAACCCCATCTGGCCCCCCAGCTACAGATACTGTGCGTCTGAGCCTCCATTTTATTGGTGTATTCATATAGGCTTCTGCCTGCTTTATAACAGTGATGATGGGGGTTGGGTATTGGCCATACACTTACATTGCAATATCATTTATGTACTGGTTGGCCGTACCAGCACATTAACCTGTATTTTCCGTCTATACCTTGCTGCTCATCTTTTTTTTATTATGAGGAAGTTCGTGTACAGACCTTATTTCTATGACTGATAAGAAAAAGGCCAGTTCCCATGTTCCATAGTCCTACTACAGACATATATAAAGTATCATCACCGTCAATCTCAATACAGTCGCTTTATTAAATAGCAGTACTTCAGATTGTGCTAAAAGATTAATCTGTTCTGGGTTACTACGGCGACAGCACGATGAACACTTTCACCAGTTCAGGGTCAGGACTTGCGACCACTTTCTGCTGACATTCCTTACAGCCAGGCTTTAATGATTTAATGGCAACCCAAATTGTATTCGCCTCTAGACCAGGACTTTAATCTTTTAAATGTACGCCACCAATAAAGGTTACTATAAATATAAGAGCTGCCCATGATGAGTAGCTGCAGACCGGTCAGAGGACCCATGATGACCCCTGTGTGTAGCTGTAGACCGGTCAGAGTGATGACTCCTGTGTGTAGCTGCAGACCGGTCAGAGGACCCATGATGACCCCTGTGTGTAGCTGCAGACCGGTCAGAGTGATGACCCCTGTGTGTAGCTGCAGACCGGTCAGAGGACCCATGATGACCCCTGTGTGTAGCTGCAGACCGGTCAGAGTGATGACCCCTGTGTGTAGCTGTAGACCGGTTAGAGGGCCCATGGTGACCCCTGTGTGTAGGCGGTGGACAGACAAAAATGTTTCTGTTTTAAAGCACATGTCCTGTTCTGCTATGGCTCATTTGCCAGGGCTTCCGGAACAGGACCGACTTGAGTCTTTTGGGCCCCTAGGTAAGTTTTAGTTGGGGGTTTGCTAATCCTAATTGTGTTGTGGGGCCCTCTAGATGTTGGGGCCCTAGAGCAAGTGCCCTGCATGCCTGACAGGAATAAGGCCCCGGCTACCATTGGTATAAATAGTGAGACAGGCAGGTGCACAATGGTAAAAAAAATATAAGTGTAATTGCAGGTAGACGTGAAAAACAAGACAGAAAAATACAAATAACAGGTTCTGCCAGTTAAAAATAAAGATTTAACTTTAGTGTGTTTGTGTGTTTAAAATATCCTGTTTGAAAAAGGCTCTTGCCTTACAAGACATGTAACCCCCCCCCACACCCCCCAACATGCAGGTCTCACCTAGCTTATCACTTGATCTACAAAAATGCATCTTCAATCAAGTTCAATGTAAGATTTTATTTCAAATGAATCGATGAAAGCAGACCCAAGGTGACAATTGAAACAGGCACTACCACCTACAGCCCACCCAAGCCAACACTAGTTACTACTGAATAATAAGCACAGCCCACTCCTAGCCAACACTAGTTACTACTGAATAATAAGCACAGCCCACTCCTAGCCAACACTAGTTACTACTGAATAATAAGCACAGCCCACTCCTAGCCAACACTAGTTACTACTGAATAATAAGCACAGCCCACTCCTAGCCAACACTAGTTACTACTGAATAATAAGCACAGCCCACTCCTAGCCAACACTAGTTACTACTGAATAATAAGCACAGCCCACTCCTAGCCAACACCAACCAGACATGGGACTACAACAAGCCTGACACTGGCAAACCCACACAGATGGCACATAAGCCCAAAACAGGCTGGTCAATTCTAGAAAAGAGAAAAGATACAAAGAACAACCAGCGAAGGAAACCTGTATGTAGCAGAGACCGTCAATAGCCAAGGGAAAGGGTTGTATTTGGCAAGCATAGTCAGGGTGTGTGAGGTTAGTAATCAAATATGGTAGCATTGTCTCATTACATCCTTTGTATTGGCTTGGGCGCCAGGAAACTCAATCGAGTTTAGGTCAGATCCATTCCTTTCCGGGAATATTTAAAACAGTTTTGTAAATTATGTATGTTATGGTGGCAAGAAGGAAGCCAATACTGAAGAAAGACTACAATGAATCATGTTTAAAGTATGTCAGGAAAACACACACGCCAATAAATGTTAAGGTCTCAAAGGTCTGATAACGCAAAGCATTACATTTAGTATGAAAACCAACGCAGCACATAACATAAAACTATCCCCGCAGTGAAACATAGGTGGCACCACTATGTTTTGGGGATGATTCTCATCATTGTGGACTGGGGAACAGTAGATAGAGGAAATAAACGGAAACAATGTATTAACAAACGAACAGGGGACACAAGTTCACCTCTCTGCCTAACAACAACCCAGAGCACAAAGCCAAAAACTACAATGCAGTGGCTAAGGTAGGAATACAATGGCAAATGTGCTTGGATGTCCCAGTTAGAGCCCCAATTCAAACACTATTGAAAATTCACTGCATGGTTTAAAGTTGTGGTCATTGACGCTGCAGTGCAAAGGCACTTTTCAACTTATTTTCACAATAAAAAAGCATCCCCTCAATTTTTGTAGAGTACAGTGTGTTAAACATTAAACATTGAACTTTCTGTTATTGTACATTATACTATGCCTGGATATACATTTTGTAAATACACTTTACAAATAATGCACATGACTTAAGAATAAAATATTTGTATATAAACTACTGGAGCAAGAATTAAGAGATGCCTAATTAGTAGGAAATAATTTTAAAGCAGACACCAATTTTTTATAATTTCATGGCTATAATTGGTGCATCAAGAAACATAGTTAGTATTGGTCTGTCACATGTATTTTTAAACAATTTTAGGACTTTTTAAGTGCTAATCGGTCTTTCAGACGGAAATGCCTCGTGTTGGATAGTGTCTATATTGTAGTACAAAAGGAAACAAGCAACATGTTAATGTGGGTCAAGTAAGTTGTAATGTATCTGTGCTGGAGGAGTTGGTGTAGCTCAGTGGTAGAGTGCATGCTTAGAATGTATGATGGGTTCAATCCCCAGCTAGCTGTTGCAAATGAGAATTTGTTCTCAATCGCCTACCCAAACCTAAATAGCGGTTAAGTATATATATTTTTTTAAGATATTCCCATTCAGTGTATTAGTCTTCCAGGCTGCATCCTATGATAACCCACTGATAAGAAGTTTTGTCTCAGATAGATCCAGTAACACTTTGATTACCATCAGTGAATGCTCAATAGCACACAACTTCCCAGACTGCCAGAACTTCGACACAAAACTTCTGACTCTATACAGAGCAGTAAAGCTTGGTGTGCAACACAATTAGAGTTGGTTGGCCTGAATTAGCTGGAATACTGTCTCAGATATTCTCTAACTACAGCATATTCCCATCTTCATTATAAAGAATGTGGTTTAAGTGATATGAAAACTAAAATCAAACAGGAGAATTTGCATTTGGGAGTGTAGGGCGTGTGCGGGGCGCATGGAAGCCTGAAGGCATGGACTGTAACCTGGGTTCGATTTGTAACCCATCCCCCTACACACACTTCCCCGCTCAATTCTGCTGGACTGGGAAGGGGGCGGAGTGGGTTAGCTAAACTAGCTGCACCTACCAAAAATAATCCTCATGCAAAAATACAACAATATGTCAAGAAGGCCAATGTTGTATTTCGTTGTCAAACTCCATTAGAGGGAAACGTGAAACAAATGTCACAATGTTACTTTGCGGAGCGAGAAGAAAGATCTGCGTAAACGAAGTTACATGAATGGCGTGATAGATGGCACAGATGGATGGATGTCAAAACGCCAGTGACAGCAGCGGTGACGATTTAGCGAACGAAACTTATTTGCAGAAACCTTATCTACAAAACTCCAAACATATGCAATGCATTGGGGGTGGGCTAACAATAGCAATATGTCTGTCTAGTAGTAGGCTGCTAGTTAGCGTTGGGCGGCACTGCCACTGTACAATGAGTCTGCATGCATGCAACGCTCTGTTATTATTGATGTTTGAATTGGTCCCTTTATCAAGAGCAGCAGCACGCGTCACGTCCATTGATTTAATAACAGAGAACCTCTGGGATGTGTGATGGATAGCGGTTAACTCTCGCGTGCAGTCTTGCACATTGACATGTTGCGATATTTCTGCTAGTAATGGCCCTCGATAATGCAGCTAGCTAGCTAGCTAGCCTAAGAAGGGAGAGAAAGCACATCCAGTTCTCTCTCCGCTAGCTTGCAGAGCAGCAGCAGCACCCATCCCCCAACTCTCTCCCCATCCATCCCTCTCTCCCTCTCTCTCTCCCTCTCGCTCTCTTTCTGAATCCACCATCTTGATTCTGAGACCCGTCTCCCCTTTCTCCAAAGCTGAAAACACAACCAAAACCGCAACAAACTCACCTTTACCGGGCATTGCTCAGTCGATTACCGTCTTCCGAAATAAAAAATCTATATATCTGATAAAAGTGTGTAGGTTTTAATATTGTAAATATGCCGTGAGAAGCGGAAACCGCGCCTTGGAGCAGAAAGGGACAATCCTAAACTGCCATCTGGTGGAGCCTTCCTAGCTGTAATGCTGCTCGGGTGGTGCAGCTTCTCACTGCAACCTTACTGCCTCCTGGCGGACACAGACGGGATTTCATTGACGGGGACGCGCAGCGGGTGCGAGGAGAGGGGAGGAGGCACTGCAGGAGGACCCCGCAAAAAAAGGAAAAGGCGCGGGAGCGCGCTGAGGCTGTTAGTTTATTTACATTATCTATGGTCTTAAACAACCTAAAAGTACACATATAGGAGACTTAACAGTGTAGGTAACCCAATGAAATACATCTTATCAGGTTATGGTAAAGCATTTTATACTATTATTGCTGTTATCTTGACCTAAACGTAATGACAATCTCTTACAGTGTTTTATTTTATTTTTAATGTGATGTGTTTCCCTAATTGTTATATTTGTCTGTAATGTATATTTGTTTGTATTTTTTACATGTAAGTTGGGGAGGCTAGCCATCACAATGGCATATACTACACTTAATCACTAAATCCCCCCAAAAATAAGTTAAATCCTAGGGTTTATTCCAATTCACCTGAATAGGCGTCAAACATCTCATAGAGAGTGAAACAGTAAACAATATCTGTATTTCCGATGTTTTGAAAAATAAGAAAAATATTAAGCAGTAAATATTAATAGCAAGAGCAGGAAATACAGATATCGCTTACTGTTTCACTCTCTCTGAGGCTGACCTGAAGACTTACACTCTGTCACTTTCCCTCTCTTTCTACTTTTATTTCTCTCCTCGTACATTCACAATCTATCTTCTCTCTCTCTCTTTTATAATCACACGCTTATGCAGTCTATCGTTCTGTTAATTGAAAGAGAAGGGGAGGAAATAAATATATAATCAAGTTTCAGAGTGCATGTGTGAGAGAAATCATTCACTGTGTCATTCCATTTGCGTTTGGTAACTTGATGGATTGGTGACGCTCAAACTGAATTACACAGAATATATTCCTGTTATCTGTCTAACACATGCAAATGGAAACACATGTTTGTTTTTCTTTGTTGGGACAGAAAAATGCATATATCCTATATCCAAAATCGAAATCTAACCCTTATGACTAATATTAACCTTATTACCTATCCACAAACCTAACTTCTAACGGATATAAAACAAACCACAAATCTAAGCCAATTGTATTTTTTAACCTAAAACAAACCGCTAAAATGCAATTAGTCAATTTACTTTAGTGGACTAGATAAAAAATGTACAGGAACCAAATGGTTAGGTTTAATTATCCTTGTGGGGACTTAACATGTAGGAGGACATTTTATAGACTTGTAGGCAGTAGATCAATTAAATTGACTTGTAGCAAGGAGATTAAAGAGATTTACCAGTTACATGGTGACGAGAGAGGTAAACTAGTAGTGAGTAGTTTAGAGAGGCAAACTCGTAATGAGTAGTTTAGAGATGTAAACTAGTAGTGAGTAGTTTAGATAGGCAAACTAGTAATGAGTAGTTTAGAGAGGTAAACTAGTAGTGAGTAGTTTAGAGAGGTAAACTAGTAGTGAGTAGTTTAGATAGGCAAACAAGTAATGAGTAGTTTAGAGAGGTAAACTAGTATTGAGTAGTTTAGAGAGGCAAACTATTAGTGAGTAGTTTAGAGTGGTAAACTAGTAGTGAGTATTTTCGAGGCAAACTAGTAATGAGTAGTTAGAGAGGCAAACTAGTAGTGAGTAGTTTAGAAAGGTAAACTAGTAGTGAGTAGTTTAGATAGGCAAACTGGTACTGAGTAGTTTACAGAGGTAAAATAGTATTGAGTAGTTTAGAGTGGTAAACTAGTAGTGAGTATTTTAGAGGCAAACTAGTAGTGAGAAGTTTAGAGAGGTAAACTAGTAGTTAGTTGTTTAGAGGAAAACTAGTAGTGAGTAGTTAAGAGGCAAACTAGTCGTAAGTAGTTTAGAGAGGTAAACTAGTAGTGAGTAATTTAGAGGCCAACTAGTAGTGAGTAGTTTAGAGTGGTAAACTAGTAGTGAGTCGTTTAGAGAGGTAAACTAGTAGAGAGTCGTTTAGAGAGGTAAACTAGTAGTGAGTCGTTTAGAGAGGTAAACTAGTAGTGAGTAGTTTAGAGAAGTTAGACCATGAGATTTATGGATCATGTCACATGCAAAAAATGCAACTAAACATCTCTCCGGTCATGATAACTTTGAGCAAGGCATTCAACCATGAATAGCTCCCTTCACCACTCACCATTCTGTTGAACACTTCATCCCAGCCTCAGCCATTAAATCAGCATATTTTTGTCCTAATTCCACCCAAGTGACATGACTTAATTCTTGTGATTACAATGCGCTTCATTAACTAATAATTTCACACACTCACACCCAGGCACTTATGTGCACACACACAAAAACAAACACACAACAACAAGGCACACACACGTACACACACACAAATGGTCTCTCGCAGCTCATACATAGACACATAGTGTCTCCGTGGCTACAGCAAGTCTCTGCTATTGCATCGGTGGACTTTAAGATTATTTTTACATTAAAAAAGGACTGAAGAGAAACAGACACACTGGGACAAACTTCAATAACCTGGTGTTTTGATGAGGAACAGCCACACAGAGACTAGTATCAATAACTCTGTGGTCTGATGAGGAACAGCCACACTGAGACTAGTATCAATAACCCTGTGGTCTGATGAGGAACAGCCACACTGAGACTAGTATCAATAACCCTGTGGTCTGATGAGGAACAGCCACACTGAGACTAGTATCAATAACCCTGTGGTCTGATGAGGAACAGCCACACTGAGACTAGTATCAATAACCCTGAGGTCTGAAGAGGAACAGCCACAGTGAGACTAGTATCAATAACTCTGTGGTCTGATGAGGAACATCCACAATGGGACTAGTATCAATAACTCTGTGGTTTGATGAGGAACAGCCACAGTGAGACTAGTATCAATAACCCTGTTGTCTGATGAGGAACATCCACAGTGGGACTAGTATCAATAACCCTGTGGTCTGATGAGGAACAGCCACAGTGGGACTAGTATCAATAACCCTGTGGTTTGATGAGGAACAGCCAGACTGGGACTAGTATCAATAACCCTGTGTTTTGATGAGGAACAGCCACAGTGAGACTAGTCTCAATAACCCTGTGGTTTGATGAGGAACAGCCAGACTGGGACTAGTATCACTAACCCTGTGTTTTGATGAGGAACAGCCACAGTGGGACTGTTAACCCTAATTCTGTGTTTTGATGAGGAACAGCCACAGTGAGACTAGTATCAATAACCATGTGGTTTGAAGAGGAACAGCCAGACTGGGACTAGTATCACTAACCCTGTGTTTTGCTGAGGAACAGACACACTAACACTAATGTTAGTAAACGACAGTTTGATCAACAGAACCGTCAGTTAACAAACACATCGGGCGGCACTCCTTGGTAATGTGTGAACTGACCGAGCTGTATCAAAGACAATGCGGCTAACCCACCTGTGGTGTGGGCTCACAGTATGTTCACATTAACTCTGTTACACTGGTGGAGG